GCAAATATTGGTCTGTGTGGGTGGGCTTACGATACACGCCAGTTTCCAACCGTCCTCCATCATTTCATTAAAGAAGAACCCGTCCAGAGGACCTATACAATTTTTTTCCTTTTGATTTTTTACCTGGATTACTGAGATGCATCAGGACATATAGGCTAATGCTACAACAGCCAACAACACAGACTGTAGAGTACAATCTGATGTTTCTTTAGATTACTTTGAGTCACTATCAGAGAGATGAAGAAGAGTCAGAGTTCAAATAATATTGTTTCAATAAACAAAGTCCAGAGAGTTGTCTTTGTTAAAGAGTTCCCCTTTGACGTCACTTCCTGTTTCACTTTGGCTGAGCCAAGTTCAAAAGAAAGTTAAGGGGCAAAATGGGTTAAATCGTATGTATTATTTCAACTTTCTTAAATATAAAGATTTTTTTCTTTGACTTTTTGTATTTGACGAATATGCATGTGACAGACACTTTAATTTCCATGCCAGAAACAAAATGCAGATTACACACTTTACTGTTTTTCATCAGAGTGAAGTTGTGAAAGTGAAACGCATTGAGCCACAGCTCTCTTCTTGTAGCAGCTTTGCTCGACTTTCCTAGAGGAATTTGGTAAAAGGAGCAAGCATCTCCTTTATCTTTTACTCAGTCATGTTGCTTCGAACAATTATAAACACTATGAAAGTCATTTTTCCATTTTGCTATAACTGGAAAAAATGCAAACACTCCACTCAACGGTGATTGATCCCCCCTTACTTCCAGTGAATGCACAAAAACCCTGTGTGCGTTGTAACCAAAATGTGCAAAAGGGTCTATTCAGCAAGTTTTACAGATATAGAGCTCAAATTTGATGTGGTATTTGCCGAGAGTCATTTATACTCTGAGCTCTGCGTAACGTTATTTTCAGGGTTTGACCAAAACAGTTATTACTCTGTTATTTTCAACATAAGATGATCAGTTTAAAACTCTGGCTTTGAAAGGTGGCGAGTGATTAGCATTCTTTCAAGGAATGCTAGTCTTTAATCTTAATCTGTCAAGGTTAGAATTAGACCACAAAYGGGTATTATAGCTTAGTGACAGTCTGGTGGTTTTTATTCTTGCATGTCTGGAATCCTTTTAATCCCATCACAGATTATGATCGTGTTTGAAATTCATATCTCTGTAAGCCTCCAAAGATAGAGCAAACTGCTTGCATATCAAATCATTTCTTAAGAGAGAGAGAGTGCGACGGCAACATCTACGATCTACCACGTGTCAAGAAGATGAGTTTTACTGTATCATGTACAATGTTTCATTTATAAATAACAGCACGAGTCGTGTGCTGCGTGTTTCGCCTGAACACACACACTCTTGATGTTAAATAAAGCAATTTCACGCTCTGGTCCATGCCAGCTCTGCATCATTTACCATGCACCTTCTATAACAGGAGGAATGTATAGCTTGGTCTCGTGGTGAGCTGTGCTGGGAAGATGGCAGTTACACAGATTTGCTTGCTGCCTTGAGTAAAAAAAGAGAGAGAGGCAAGGCAGGAGAGGCAGAGCATGGTGGGTAATCAGTGCTCGTCTTTTGACTTCATGCCTTCACCGATTTGAAGGGCTTGTTCTTCTCTTTTTTTTTTTTGTTTTTCTTCTTTGCTGCAGTGCAGCAGCCTAGATTCAAGAGATCTGTGTTGCACCCACACATCACACACACACACACACACACAGCCAGTTTCTGCTCTGCGTTCTGGGGGCTTGTCGTGTATGTGCATTAATCGTGCGCATTGCACGTTGCGTGTGTGTATCACTGCTCAAAAAGAGCAGAG